AGCATAGTGCCTAAAGCACTTGACTGCTAACCAGAATGCTGGTGGTCCAAATCCACCAGCCACTCCTTGGAAGGAAGGTTGGGCAATCTACTTCCATAGTGATACTGCCTTGGAAACCCAAGGAGGAGTCACTATGAGTCGGGTCCCACTCGATGGCACATAACAACAACAACTGTAAGAAGGAGCTCTGGTAGTAGGATGTTAAGCACTTGGCTGTTAGCTAGAAGGTTGGCAGTTTGAACCCATCCAGCTCTGTAGGAGAAGGACTTGGCGATCTGCTTCCATAAAGATTACATCCTAGAAAACACTGTAGGGCAGTTCTACTTTGTCATATGGGGTCACTATGAGTCAAAGTTGACTTGATGGCACCTAACAACAATTGTATATGCTTTGTGCTCTATGTGTGTATGTGGGTGATGTTGTGTTTGTACTTGTTCTGGTTACCTAGTACTGTTCTGCCAAGAATATACCACAAATGGGATGGCTTGAACAAACAGGAGTTTATTCTTTGGAAGTTTGGAGGCTTTAAGTCTGAGTTCAGAGTGCCAGGCTGTAGGGACTGGGTGAAAGTCCCTCAACCTTGGGCTTCAGCTCTGCCTCCTGCTCCCAACCCACTGAAGTTAGAGGCTTTTTTTCACTCAGACAACTGCTGGCTGCTGAGGCTGACAAGCCCGAGGTTGACAAATAAAAAGGCACAGTCCCAATGTTACCAAACCACATGCCAGGCCATTAATTCAAGTCCACTGAAAGTTCCAAGGTCAGTAGAGCATGGCAGGCTACTGAACAACAACACAGCTACATGCAGGTTTCAAGTGTGCCATAAGCTAGAGTTCATCCCCAAGGCTATTTCTTATATGTGGGTAGCATATCACATAACCAAAGCAGCTACTCAGCTGCTCCAATAGATTCCGCCATGGAGTTAATTACCTATCTCACCATAGGGAATAACTGCATTCAGCTGCCCAGCCACTCAACCAGGCCCAGCAAAGTTGACACACAAACTTAACCACAACAGTACTCAAATAACTTTTTAGGAGACATCTATTTAATCATTTAATTAATTGGAAATTTTGACCTGACTTTAAAAAAATCTGAAGTAACTAATGTTTATTTACATGTAGTTATGAGTTAGAATTGATTTTTTATAGCAACTAGTCTTTTTTTTTTTGTTTGTTTGTTATTTGTTCACTTATTTGAGACTTATGAACAAAGATGACAATAACTCTGTCCTTACCCACAGGATATTTATTATCTATAAGGAGCTGTGGCGGCATAGTGCAAAAGCATTTGGCTGCTAAGCAGAAGGTTGGTGATTCAAGCCCAGTAGTCACTCCATGGGAGAAAGGTTAAGCAGCCTGCTTCTTTAAAGATTTACAGCCTTGTAAACCCTGTGGGGCACTTCTACTCTGTCCTATAGGGTTGCTATGAGTCAGAATTGACTTGATGGCAGTGTTTTTTTTTTGTTTGTTTGTTTGTTTGTTTGGTTTGGAGGTAACTATCTCTAGGAAATTCAGGTTAGGTTCATTTTCTACATTAGTACAACACCCTATAATTCTCTTTCACAGCTTCTTACTGTGCTATTATATCATTATCTGATTATTTATCTGAATGTTGTTGTTGTTGTTTGCCCTTGAGTCAGACCCAACTCAGCGACCCCTCCTTGGGTTTCCAAGGTGGTATCACTATGGAAGTAGATTGCCCAACCTTCCTTCCGAGGAGTGGCTGGTGGGTTTGAACCATCAGCCTTCTGGTTAGCAGTCAAGTGCCTTAGGCATTGTAAACTCTGTGACTTCAGGTACTGTTGCCTCTCTTCTTCAATGCTGTAGCCTCAGTATTGAGCATATAGACTGGTACATATATTTTATGAAGTTAAAAAAATATTAGTTTGCTAAGATTAAAAATATTCATTAGTAAGTATTAAATTTTACTAAATGTCTTTTTAGTATTAAAGATTAGATTTTTTTCAATATGGTGAATTATTTTGATGGATTTCCTAAAGTTGAACCATCTTTGCATTCAAGCAGTAAACTGTACTTGCTTATATGTTATGAAGAATTTGATTTGCTAATTAGAAAAAAAAAATTTGATAAAAGTTGGCATATTTTTATATTTTTGTTGTATTGTTTATTGGACAGTTTCACTGCAATACTGTTCATCCACTGACCAAAAATTTTATGAGAGCTTTTGATTAAGAACTATATCAAGTTATGCAAAATAAATTCCTTACTTTTGTGTAAAATGTATTGTATAAATTATATTTTTCCTATTCATTTTGCATGATTGAGAATATATCCTTCTGTACATTTTGTACCTTTTAAAGAAAGCTTTACATTACCTAAAACACATTTTTCTGTCATTGTTTATAAACATTTAAAAACAGATGGATCAAACTTTGTCACATTGATTTTCACAAATTCATTTCACCATTGCTACAATGATGAATATGGTCTCATTTCCCTTTTCCACAAAAGCAGAACCTGAGACAGACTTAGATGAAGGTAGTGTATTAGGGAGATGATCCCAGGAAGAAGTACAGATGAAAGATAGAGAATGAGTCAGGGAAGCAGAGGTGAATTGTCAGGATCCCTGCTGTATGCAAGGGGCTTGATTCCACCCTAGGAGCATGCAGCATTCCTCCCAGAATTGTCTGCATCATGAGTAGTATTTCACTGCATAGATATACCACAGTTATTTTTATTTATTCATCTGTTGATGGACATTTGAGTTATTTCCAGTTTTTGGCTTTTAGGAATGATGGGGCTATGTACATTTGTATATAAATCTATCTGTGAACATATATTTCATTTCTCTTGGGTAAATACTTATAACTGGGGTGTCTGGGTCACATAGCGAACCCCTCCTTGGGTTTCTGAGGCAGTCTCTCTATGGAAGTAGATTGCCTAGTCTTCCTTCTGAGGAGTGGCTGGTGGGTTTGAACTGCCAGCCTTCTGGTAGGCAGTCAGATGCCTTAGGCACTATGCGACTAGAACTCCTGATGGTACATGCATGTTTACCTTTTTAAAACAATGACTGTTTTTCAAAGTGGTTGAACCAGTTTGCATTCCCACCAGCAGTGTAATAAGAGTTCTAGTTGCACTACATCTTTGCAAAGGTGTGGTATGGTCAGTATTTTTAATTTTGTCATTCTCCTTTTAATTTTAGTTTAGTCATTTAGTATCACATTGTGGTTTTTAGTTTTCCTTTCTCTGACAACTAATGATGTTGAACATCTTTCCGTGTACTTATTTGTCATCTTTATATCTTTCATATTGAAAGGCATATTCAAATCTTGTTCTTATTTGAAAATTGAGTTGTTTTCTTCTATTGTTAGGCTGGAATTGTTCCTTGTATTTTCTAGATGTAAGTCAGATATATGTTTTATAAATATTTTTTTTCTAGTCTGAGGAATAGTTTTTAATTTCAATGAAGTACAGTTTATTGATTAATTTTAAAAAGGGTCAATTGGTGGTATTTTAGTTATTAAGATCACTACAACTTCCTCTCAACTTGCAGCAGCTGGAGAGGCTCATTGCTTTTGGGTAGATAAAATTTAATGCCTTGAAGTCGATTCTGACTCATAGTGACCCTCACTGGGCTTGGAAAGTGGTAAATCTTTACAGAAGTAGACTACCCCATCTTCCTTCTGCAGAGCAGCTGGTGGGTTTGAACCACCAACCTTCAGTTTAGCAGTCAAATGCGTTAGGCACTACACCAACAATGAACTATGTATTTTGAACCCAACCCACTGCCACTGAGTTGGCTCTGTAGGACAGAGTAGATCTTCCTCATAGGGTTTCCAAGGCTGTTGAAAGTAAATGGAAAAGAAGAGCTCAGTATCACTATTTTGGCACAAGATGGCAGCAGTCAGCCATTGATTTTGTAGGAGATGGTTTACAGTCTTAAACAAATAAATGGTGTCTTTTGTTTTTACAGAGACTTCAGTACTAGTGCTAATAACATTCAGATTGACAAAACCAAGCCTCTGTGGCACAACTATTTCCTATGTGGATATAAAGGAATTCAGGTAAATTGGTGTATGAGGAACTTACATTATTAGCGGTTCATATTATGGTATGTGTTGTGTCAAATTTGTATTATTTGCTGTATCATTTCTGTCTTCTTCCTTCAATGCTATTTGCTGTTTCTGTCTTGTTTTGCAAATTGTATGTTTCAGGCAATGGAGTTAGTGTGGCTGTTTCTGGGTTGGGTTCACAGGGGGCAGTAGTGGTCTTTCATGACAAACATCGATGTTGTTTTTAAAATCTTTGCTCAAATTTTCTTTTGGAGGACACAGTCTTACACTATTATTTGAATTTTCTTTTAGGGATAGATAGGAATATGTCAAATAGGATTTAGAGGCTGAATCCAGGCTCTGTCCAGATATGTTACTTTAACCTTTTAAGTCTCAAATTTGTTATCTGCAAAATGATGGCAGTGCTATACCCCACAAAGTTGTTGCAAGGATTATACTGTACTTGAAACATAGTAAGCATTCAATAGATTATCACTTTATTGTTGTTATTACTTTAGATGTAGTAAGTTATTACTATAACTGTTTTCCTAGAAACATTGAATGGTTATTTGTAATATCTCTAATGTCATAATATAAGAACAAGAAGCTGAGTTTTATAATTTAAAAAGTTTCAAAGACAAAAAGAAATCAGTATTTGTCATTTTTAGAGTCACTTTTATATTTCAATAATTATTTTAGATGTTGTGACTCTTGTGTAGAATCATTAAAGGACAATAAGAGGTGGATTTTTGCCTTTTTAGGCCAAAACAAAAATACAAAACAAAATCTGTGCTTTAGAGAGCTGTGTTTCTTCCAGCCTAGTGGTCCTATCTGATTTTTTTTTCATGAGTATCCTAAGATCTAGTGGCATATCCAGTACAGAAATGTATCAGATATTTCTGATGCATGATCCTATTCTCTATGTTCTGCTTTTAGAGTTCACGTCTTTCTTTTGAGTGTGTTTAATTTTAATTGTTTGAGATACATGGCAATAATAACTTTTGGGAAAAGTTACTGGCAGGTTTTAAATCTTCAATTCATCTGGCTTGTCATGTGCATTAGTGAGAATAACAGTATTTGGAAACATTTTCCTGGCAAATGCAATTTGATTTTCCTTGTAACAGCGTGCATTTTTGTATAATATGGGTAAAGTGGCCTAAATAATGGTTGTTACTTTGGGTTGTTTTTGAGCATTCTAGTTCATAAAGCCATCTTCTTTGGTTTGATAACTTATGTATGAAATCATGTACAATGAATTTCTGGCAGAAAAAAATTTAAATGTTAGCCTATTCGGAAACCTTCTTATTCAAATAGTAGAAAGTTCCAGAGGATAATCTGTTTATACTAAATTGAACATGTTATCCTTTTGAGCTAGAGCTATTACAGGATTTGGCAAAACCCATTTGTGTTTTTGAATCTGTTGTATATTTTAATTTAAACATTGCATGATAAGTTTGTAAGGATGATTCATATTCAAGACACCCTGTGGATCAGCTTTTGGTTAAATATATAGTATTCTGCAAGGATATTTTTAACAAGCTGTCTGATGTTCTGCATGAAAGAGTATTGGCAGCAGCAATGTTTAAGTTTATAATTTGTTTGTATTTCTGGAAAGCAAATTTTTAAATGACTTGAAGTCAAGAAGAGATGCACATCCAATTGAACATCTTCTTTTGTGCTGCATGAGTTCTACCACCTAGGGAGAAAGGACAAAAAATTAAGGAAAAACATAGAATGTTTCATTTGCAGAGTTTTGTTACTTTGGTTATTCTAACTAGTTTACTGAAATTTCTCCCTAGAATAATATATACGATGAAATGCCTAACTGTAATATAATAGTGTTTCATACTGTGGTGTTGAGTCTTTTCAGTAACTTATAAATACAGTGATACTCTTTCTTAAGGAGGAAGTGGCTTTAAACTTATTTTAAATCCTAAACCATGGAGGTTATGATATGATACCACCCTAAATCTCTTAGTCCTATATATTTATCAAAGTAGCCCAAGAGCTTTCCATCTTTAAATCACAGTCTGATTCTTTCTTTGGGCTTTCCTATTTGCAGAAATAGAGTTTTCCTGCATTGTTTATTAGGGTCTACATTCTCATCAGTGACTGAATTGTAAATTGGCTCACTTGAAAACTACCATATGGCTAAATTGCATCTATAAACACTAGTAAAATTCTGATTTTCTCGTATAGCTGATGTATATTAAATCATAGTGACAGTATACTGGCCCAGTTTTCTCACTGCAGTAGAGAAATTCTCAACCAGGAATCAGAGACCTGGGCCCTACTCCCAGCTTCCAATTTATTTCAAGTGTGATCTTGGGAATTCTCTTAATCTCTTTGTGCCCAGGTCTTTCCATCAGTGAAAAAAAAAAGACTGAGAAAGTTTGGAATTCTTTTCTTAAAGGACTTTCTGAAGAAAGATACTCCTTAAAAACAAACCCCTGTTTGGGTTAAGACTTTTACAATAACAGATTTTTAGGGATGTGCCTGATAGAGATTTAACCTTTTTCTCAAATAACTGTGTTTTTCTTGTCTTGCTACTTGAAATACTGAGTTATAATAGTTTTATGTATTTTTAATATTCATTCACATTGATTGATATTCAAGAAAATGAATATTCAAGACACATTTAGGAAATGTATCAGTAGTTTTTTTGTTGAACAAAGTAAAAAGCATTCTTCGTATTACCTACCATATGGCCAAGAGCTATTAAACACATGTCATGTAAAGTCTCAACTCAATTGAATTGTATAAGTAGTTTCCATAAATAGTAAAAGAAGTCCATTGATAGACTAGCTCTGTGGAGAATGAAAAAACATTTCTATTACTTCCTGACCCAACACTGAATTTACTAGTGCTGTTTCTTCTCTATTCTTAGGAACACTTTGGTCTTAGTAATCCGACTGGAATGAATTGCCTGGTAGATGGAAACATCCCACCAAGTTCTGGCCTTTCCAGCTCCAGTGCTTTAGTCTGTTGTGCTGGCTTGGTAACACTCACAGTGTTGGGAATGAGCCTATCTAAGGTAACTAACTTTGAATGGTATAAGCCTTTTTCAACAGCCTTCTTTTTCAAAGTCATGAGCATCTAAATTTTGAAGTCACAATGCCTTCCTTTGAAAAATTTACTTACACGCAAGGACTGCACAAGTGGGCAACTGCTGTAATTTTGCAAGTCTTGCTTCTGATGAAATCACTATGAGATAGCTGATATCCTACAAACAGTGTACAGATCTGTGAGTAAGTGTATTAAAATGCCCTTGGATGAAGTGTGGAGTTTGAATGCATGGATATCTTTCCCATCACCTCATTAACAAGTTAAATTTAGACCAAGAAATTTTAGGCCTCATAGTTGGGCCTGCTTATTTTCACACAAAACCTTAAATTAAATATTTGACAAGCAGTGGGTAAGAAGGGTGAAAACTAAGGCATAAAGGAACCAAGCAACATATCTTTTTATGCCAGCAACAAGAAGTTAGTCACTGAAACAAACTTTTTCTTTTTTAAATATTGCATTATAAAGAGGAAAAGCTTATTCAGAGCAAACATAATTCCTACAGGAGGTCAGAAGCCACTATAAATTCATATAAATCTCTGATTTTGCAGTTCACAGCAGGTGTGCATAGCTTTAATTAATGCTTTAGAGTTTTGGTTTAAATGGATGTTGTTGCTGGTTCTTTTTACCCCATGTACATACACTACCAAGTTTACAGATGGTTTGGAAACATGGACTGGGCATCAGGCAGATTAGAGAAAGTCAGCCACTTGATTAATTTCTTTTAAGTTGGTTTAAATAGTCAATTTCAAAATTTTATATGTGGAAGGAAAGGGATAGATGCAGGGGAAAGCAAGGACTCAGAGTTCTTCTCTTTAGCTGTCATATGTAAGTGCACATGAATTACCCTTTGTGAGCAATGAGTTATATGGGGGAAAGGGTAGCTTATTATTACTTTTTTTTTGAGAGGAGAAAAAGAAGAGGAAAGGAAGTCCATATGTCACATGTGTTTCCCCTGGTCCTACTTTTAATCTGATGGTTTGTTCATTTATTTGTTGTTTGTTCATTTGTTCATCTCTCAACCATTATTTATTTAGTGGTAACTTTTTACCAAGCAATGTTGTAAGTATTGGAAATATAATGTGATCTGACTGGGAAATAAGAAGCTATAGCCCCTGAGTTGATTCTGACTTGTGGCAACCCCATCTGTAAAGACAAGTGGTAAATAGGCAACTATAATGTTGATAAGTGGGTAAGTAGTGTGTTGTGGGAGCAGATCTAACCAAGATTTAGAGATCATAAGACATCTAAGCTGAGACACCAAGGATTTAAGGATTTGTAGATGTTAGTTAAGCAGCACTTATAGCATGATAATATTGATAATACTTGATAAGCATGTATCAAGTGGAGGGAGCATCATGTGGAAAAATCTAGAAAGATAAATATAGTACATATATGTGATTCAGTATTACTCAGCCATAATGATAAACGAAGTGCTGATACATGCTACAACATGGATGGACCTCAAAAACATTATGCTGAGTGAATAAAGCCAGTCACAAAGGAACAGATATTGTATGATTCCATTTATGTGAAATATCTAAGATAGGCAGTACATAGAGACCAAAGATTATAAGTGGTTACCAGGGGTGGATGGCAGGAAGAGAAAAAAAGAGAATCACTACTTAGAAGATGCTGAGCTTTGATTAAAGTTGATGGGAAAATTTGGGAATGGATAATCGTAATGGTAGAACAACATGATGAATATAACCAATGTGACTGGATTGTATACATGAAGAATGTTGAAATGGCAAATGATTTGTTACATATATGTTGTTGTTGTTGTTATGTGCCATCAAGTTGGACCCGACTCATAGCGACCCCTCCTTGGGTTTCCGAGGCAGTATCACTGCGGAAGTAGATTGCCCCATCTTCCTTCCGAGGAGTGGCTGGTGGGTTTGAACTGCCAGCCTTCTGGTTAGCAGTCAAGTGCCCACAATAAAAAAAAGTAAAACAATAGGAACTCAATGTGGCTGGAGCATACAGAAGTCAAGATAGGAAAACAGATGCTGGGCCTTGTAAAGTATGTTGAGGAATTTAAGCTTCATCCTCATAGTAATATGAAGCCATTGCAGGATTTTAGGAAGGAAGTGGCATGATGATATCTGCAATTTAGGAATATCACCTGGCTGTATTATAAATTCTGGATTTGAGGGCAATAATATTAGCAGTAGGAGATTTTGTGGTCTGGAAGAGTGGCAGTGAGGAAGAAGGGCAATGTATGATAAATTCAAGTTATATCTCAGATAGAATCAATAGAACTTGGCCATTGACTGGCTGTGTGGATGGGGCAGCAAAGTCAAGGATTAATCCAGGTCTCTGGCTTTGTGTGTGTGGTTCAAAGAATGAGGAAGATAGATGGAAAAAAATAGGTTTGAGAGGAAGTGAAATGTTGAATGTGAACAATTTGTGGACATACTTCTGGAGTTATCTAGTGTTTAGTTATAGATAAATGCCTCTGAAGGTCAGGAGAGAGATCTGGAATTATGATTGATTTGAGAATCACTAGTATATAAATGGTTTTTGAATTCATAGGAGTGCTGAGAACACCCAGAGTTGGAGTGCAGGCAGAAAGATAAGGAAGACTAGGACAGGGCTTTGACAAACAAGAACACTTGAGGGATGGGCAGAGGAGGAGACATCCACTGGAGAGGCTCAGTAGTAGTCAGATAGGTAGTAGGAAAACCAGAAAGGTAAGACAACAAAGACAAGGATGAGAATGTTTTATGAGAGGAGTTAGCAGTGACAGCAAATGCTGCTGAGATGTTAACTAAGATGTTGTTGTTGTTACATGCCGTTGAGTCGGACCTGACTCATAGCGACCCCTCCTTGGGTTTCTGAGGCAGTATCACTATGGAAGTAGATTGCCCCATCTTCCTTCCAAGGAGTGGCTGGTGGGTTTGAACCTCCAGCCTTCTGGTTAGCTAAGATAGGACTTCGATTTAGCGATAAGGAAGTTGAATAATTTTGGTAATGACAGTTCGAGATAGGAATGGGCTAAAGGGTCTCTGGAGACAAGAAAGTGGAAAAGGCCAGTTGATACAAAAAATCTGGCTATGCATGGAAAAGAGATAATCTGGTGGCTGGAGGGGTGTGATGTCAATGAATTAATTTCTTTTTTAGTAGGAAGATTGGTGAATCTATTTATTTATTTTTTAAGGCCCTTTGATGGTATAAGTATCTATGGGAAAAGAAGAAAAAAATAGAAAGAAACATTTGAACTTTTATAATTAATGCTGAAGGTGTTTGCAAAATATAAGCATCATCATCACAACTTAGATTAGCAGGGGAAACCAAATTCAAAGCCAAACTCACTGCCATTGAGTCAATTCCAACTCATAGCGACTCCATTGGGTGTCTGAGGTGGTAAATCTTTATGGAAGTAGATTGCCCATCTTCCTTCCTTGGAGCATCTGGTGCTTTGAACTGCCAACCTTCTGCTTAGTAGTCAAATGCTTTAGGCACTGTGCTACCAATATACATATTTGTATATCCAAGATATACATATTTGTAAAAAATGCAAATGTACTTTTATCAGAACTGTCTAATGCCAATGCCTAGAGCTTAAAAGGAAGAATATGTATATCCTGGCATTCCCTCCAAATCTAAGTTGTGATGACAATGCTTATATTTTCTAGGATGGAGTATAATGATTTGGAGACTCCTGGACTAAAAGGAAACCCCTAATTTACTCAGACTCTAATTAAATGCTACCTATACATGTGACTCTTAGAGAAATTTTAGCACTTAAGAACCCAAGGGACTTTCAAGATGAACTAGTTCAAAATCTTCTTTTTATTGATAAGTCATTCATTGCCCTGGTAAGAAACAAATGGGACCTAGAATAAAATTGAAGATGTTTTAATAAACTATTTATAGAGGTGTGTGCAGGGTCAAGGGAACCAACTAGGAATAATGAAGTTAAATGTCGTTATACTTCAGAAACTGTGGCTTTAGAGTAAGATCACCAGAAATGCAGCAAGGCAGGGGAAGAGTGAAAGGGAGTGAGGATGGAAATGAGTGGGGTTGGATGAGCAGAGTAGTCAATAGAGGATAGCCTCCTAGAATATAGAGAAGTGTGAAAATGGTGGAGCAGAGAGTAAGCAAAAAATACCTAGTACATTTGATAAGAAAACTTAGTCCCACAAGAGGGTGGTGACTAATCCCCTCCCAATTATAGGTATATTAAGTATACCTCGTTTTAGCTGTAGAAACTAGTACTACAAATGAGCTATGATAAGTACATGTGGAACTTGTTAAGTCATTAATAAACTAAATGTTGCATGTCTGAAATCAGCAAAACAAGATGGCTAGTCACCCAGAAATTCTGGAAGCCGGGAATTAGGAATAAGAATGTGACTGATTGAAGAGTATGTGATATGAGTAAAAAAGAAGGCTAGCAACTTCTGGTTTTAAGATGCCGGAATAAAGACATATCTACTCTTTCTTTCTATGCCTTCTGTTCAGCCTTCTTTCTCAAAAATCATCCTTGAACAATAGGGAAAACAAGAAGAGAAAGCACAAACTCCGTCTCTGATGAATCAAGGGGACATAAATAACCCCAAACCACAAGATACAAAGATGGAAAGTGGAGGGCAGAATACAGCATGACTTAGCAGAATGGGGAGAGGTCAGAGCCAAGTGCCTCTGCAGGGCGATGCAGATGGAAAGCAAGCTGACACATCCCATGGTTATTTGGACGGGCTCAGGGAGCTCTGGTAGCATAGTGGCTAAAAGCACTTGACTGCTAACCAGAAGGCTGGCGGTTCAAACCCACCAGCCACTCCTCGGAAGGAAGGTTGGGCAATCCTACTTCCGTAGTGATACTGCCTCGGAAACCCAAGGAGGGGTCGCTATGAGTCGGGGCCGACTCGACGGCACATAACAACAACAACAACAACAGGAATTAGAGGCACTTGGTACCAAGAAGGCAGAGTGATGTAGAATTTATCTGTAAGTCTTTATGAAGAG